CGGGAGGAGGAGTGGGAGGAGGGGGAGAAGGAGGGGGAGGGGATTGGGGATGGGGTTGCATCTCACAGCCCCTTGCTCCATACTCTCCTTCTCATTTTGCACATTCCAAGGCTGCTCAGTTCGAGCTGTTTGGGATCCTGAACTGTGCAATCGGATTTTCGAATACAATACTGAATGCCTTTTTCCTTTCGGTTTTTGCCTGCTGTCCTGTGCAACTCTGGAAGGAGCGGGCGGGGGAGCGGGAGGGGAAACAGGGAGGGGGTTAACGAACACGCGGGAGCCGGAGGAGGGGCAGGAGATATAGGTGGAGGAGGAGAAGCGGGAGGAGCACGAGGACGAGCGGGAGGAGCGGCAGGAGGAACGGGGGGAAGAGCAGGGGAAGCAGCGGGAGAAGGAGAAGCAGCAGGGGGGAGAGCCGGAGAAGGAGGAGGAGGAGAGGGAGGAGCAGCAGGAGAACGAGCGGGAGCGGGGCTATGGCGGGATCTTTGTCACGTTGTTTGGCGGAGGAGGAGCAGGAGGGGGAGGAGGAGGAGTGCCTTTTTTCACAATCAAACATAAATGCTCTTTTTTTCAATCGCGCGCGCTTGCACCACCACACCTCTCATCACCGCGGCGGGCCCACTTGTTTTTTTTAATGTCTGAAGTTCTGACTCGTCGATCTCAGTATATCCTTTTCCTCATCAACTATTTTGGTCTGAGCCTTCGGGTCTTTCGGATGCATTGCTTGGGTCTTTTGTCTATTTGATGCTTTTTTGTTCAGGAAACAGCACGGCGTGTGGTCCGCGTACGGCAAGCCGTATGTTTGCCACGGGGTGCCGCTGCTGCTACCGAGGCACTATCCGTTTCCTAACAGAGGTGACGGGAAAGAGCAGAAATTCCCTACCTTTGCAGAGCTCCTACGGCCAGGAACTGGATTTGGACTTGGGGATGAACTAGAGAGGTCTCAGCGATTGCGGCAGGATTTTGCACGGGCAGAGCCGGTTTCTGACGAATTTGCCCCCCGGGCAACAATTACGCTTGCGAGGGGTAAGTTCTGACACAACACCTTCTGAACACATGTTTGTTGGTACACAATCTGTTGCTGGATGTTAGAGGACCAGTTTATCATGTGTGCAGGCCCTGTGTGTGCATGTGGGAAAGTGGTTGGAGGGGACATGTACGTGCACACACACAGAAAAATGGCTCGGTGGAGGAATGGAAACATGGACAGATGGTTGGATGGAGGGATGGACAGATCGACCGGATGGGCGGATGCATGGACGGGTGGATGGATGGAATGGTGATATACAGACGGATGGATGGATGGATGGATGGATGGACTGGTTGATAGACATACGGAGAGAGAGAGAGAGAG